TTTCCGTGTTGGTGCGGAGAAGTCTCCAGCTTGAATACCCCGGCTGTATCTTGCATCCCTGCTATGCCGTGCAGGTATGTCTCCAGGTTATGGTAGTTCCTGAAGTTCAGAGACCGTTTCAGGTATGTTGAGTTCAAAGTATTGATCTCTAACACCTCGCCAATTTCTGCATACAGTAAGAGTGGATAATGTGGTGCGACATCTGGAACATTTACTATTCTTAGGATGTTTAGTGGTTGGAGTGAGTCGACGATGTTTTTGAAGTTATGGTCTCCAATCCGAGGACTCCCGAAAGCAAAAACTGTGATAGGAACTTGCTTTTTTTGAAGACTTATATTGACCTTGTTTTTTTTGCCATAGACAAGATCTGCAGCTGATAAAACTGACATAACTGCGCCCAAGCTATGGCCTGTGAAAGTGATGCTTATTTCCTCATTCTTGTAAAGTTCTAGCAACCTCTTCAGCTCTCCTTGTACCTAAAACCAAAACCAAGACACGATGCCATTAGGAGAAAGAAGGAGAAATGGAAGTAGTGTTGTTGACGTTGTAATGGGTCGCCTCGCCACGTTTTGAGCTCAACCCATCTCGGCCTTGATAAGTTGAACCTTTCACTGATTTTATCCCGCGGGCAGGACTGCATTGAACCTGGAAAAGGCACCCCAAAAAAACGACACAACGGGTTTTTTCATGGCCTGCAGTGGGCTTAGGTTTGGAACCGTCCTGGTCTGGTCCTGATGTTCCGAAATTAGTAGAACAGTCCAAACTGGACCAACCTTAGGCCACCATAACATCTCTGCACAGAAGTGAATCCGATGATAAAAGAGAAAGGTGAGGACCTGTTCTTGTGCACTAGTCGTGTCATAAGGTGAGCGAGAATCAGAAGCGGTATAGATGTCGAGCCAGCCACTTCCAATACGAGGGTTATCTTTGGGGTCAGTTACTGGGAAAACCGAGATAGCTGACTCAAGCGGAAAGTCAAAATCATTAGCCCATTCATATGGCTGAAGTGTTCCTCTCCATGCAACAACAATGTCTCTCCTTCCTAACATCGCTTTACCCTGGTCTGTAGCAACTGCAATGTAACCCATCCAGTTAGTCTGCACGCGAGATGCATCCTTTGACAAAGACTTGACGATGAAACAGATTGGTAACTTTATGGAAGCTGTTGCGTAGATGTACTTAGTCACATTGTACCTGAAAATCTATCATCCGTAAGCTTACATCGTCGAGTCAAAGATGAAACATTGTGGGTGTATGGCAAGTACCTGAAAGGGTTGGCTTTAAGGAAGCCGGTTCGAGCAAACAGTTGGTTCTTTGAGTAATAACAATCACCGGCGTATTTGGACTTACGGTCCCAGTTAAAGGCATCATAACCAACCTGAGACATCTCACCATAGTGAATGATGTAGCGGCGAAGATCCGGGTCAAGTGGATCAAGCAGGCCTTGCCATTTGTTTTGGCCACTTAGCACCTTCCATCTCTTTGGTATGCCCTCCACCATGTTTGCCTTAGATTTTTTTCACAAACCTTTTTCTTCTTGTTCTTGATGTTTGGAGAGTAACATTGCTCCTTGTGTGAAAGAATTGGATAATGCGTGAAGGAATTGGTCCTTAATGCATGTCCCTTCACATAAATAGTGCTGATTTAAGTTTTTGTTAAGTGTACGCATATTACAATTGTAGGATTTCACATCACTTTTTGAACGGTTAATCAACGCTTAAAACATGTATTGTTAGTTACATCGAAATTAAATTCATTAAAGACCATTTCCTCTATAGCCTGTTCGGTTAAGCCAAACCGGAAACATCTATCTAGAACCGAAGCAGGGGATTGTACTCAGCGACCAGCGTTGTTCAGGTGCACTTGACCGGTGAGTTTCATTGTATTCATGTTCTCTGCTCTGCCTCATTCTTGAAGATTCCACTATCTCCCACCAATGGTTTGGAACCTGAAACTAAATTTTTCAAAAAGAGTTGTCACCATCAAGTAAGACTGGTTCGCTTCCCAGAGCATGTTGCCTAATACCTAGATCTTTCCTTCAAACAGAATCAACCACCCCTTATGACCATTGTCTTCATTTTCCGACATTCCTCTCTGTAGATGAACCTGTCTGGTGCTGCTTAAGAATCATCTGACCTTTGAGTTACAATCAGACATTGATGCAGGAGTTTTTGTACATGGGGACTTGTGACATCGGAAAGCTCTTCTTCTCAATAGATTTCTTTGCGACTCAAGTTTTTCAGTTATCGGTAATGGACTGATGAGACCACCTCATCTATGGCTTCTTTCCATATTCATGAGACCACCGCATGACAAAGCAAGCATCATCCTTGGTTCACTTTTCTTGCTGAACAATATCTATGGCTTCTTTCCATATTCAAGATTTCTCTTTTCTTTGTGAAGCATCAAATCAAAGCATATTCATGTAACATTTGAAGGGGAGGCACTGGTTTTCCATAACCGAAAGAGGCTTTAGCAAGCAAGTCTTGAACCGCATCTGAGCAAAGTTTCTCAACAGGTTCTGACTGTCATGAACTTAGATTCTAAACATATTTTGCAGTATCATAAACCAAGAGTTAGACAAACTAGAAACATCATAGTAAGAATTATAAGTGCTACAATAAGAATTAAGTACCTGGAAGCCTCAAATTTCTGCGTCACATGTTTTTTCATAGCTCAAGAAACTGAATCTTCTTGGGTCAAAAAATTGTACTTTATTTAGAGAAATGACAAAGAAAGAAGGACTCAAGTTCACAATGGAAGGATCAACAATCTTCAGAGAAACCCAATCAGCACCAGTTTTACAACGAGTACGTTTAGTTTTCAAGACAAAAAAAAAATATGACTTCTGGAGCTACAGGCATAAACATAAACATATATCAGTTGACTAAATAAACTAAATTCTACGACTTACTCTTAAACTTACGTTTCTGCATATTGTTAAGGATGAGACAGAAGGAAACTTGTCCCACTGGAACTGCAACAAAACACAAAACCTGTGACCAGGAAAGCAGCACAGGACTGAAGCTTATATACGAGAAACCAAACTCATTTCCCAAACTCCAACTTAAAACAAATAAAAATGCTGAATGTACTTAGAAATTCTAACCTGACCCTTGTCGTTTTGATTTGCTTTGTCTTGATAGCTTCAAAGCTATGTTCCGTCAATTCCTCTGTGTATGACCCACACAAAACCCTGAAGCAGCGGTTCGAGAAGTGGCTTAAAACCCACAGCAAACTATATGGAGGAAGGGATGAGTGGATGCTACGGTTTGGGATATACCAGTCTAACGTCCAGTTGATTGACTACATCAACTCCCTCCACTTGCCCTTTAAGCTAACGGATAACAGATTTGCAGACATGACCAATTCTGAGTTTAAGGCCCATTTTCTCGGGTTGAACACGTCTTCCTTGAGGTTACACAAGAAGCAGAGACCAGTTTGTGACCCAGCAGGCAATGTCCCGGACGCTGTGGACTGGAGGACTCAAGGTGCTGTGACTCCTATCAGAAATCAAGGAAAATGCGGTATGAAACATAAGACTTTTCAAACATTCATAATTCAACTGGTGACAATCTGATTGTGTTTTGTTTTTCTTGTTGCAGGAGGTTGCTGGGCATTCTCTGCAGTAGCAGCTATTGAAGGCATCAACAAGATTAAAACAGGGAATTTAGTGTCTCTCTCAGAACAACAACTCATAGATTGTGATGTCGGCACTTACAACAAAGGCTGTAGTGGCGGATTAATGGAAACAGCCTTTGAATTCATCAAAAGCAATGGTGGACTCACCACCGAGACCGACTACCCATACACAGGCATAGAGGGTACCTGCGATCAAGAAAAAGCCAAAAATAAGGTAGTTACGATACAAGGATACCAAAAAGTAGCCCAGAACGAGGCGAGCCTACAAATCGCTGCAGCTCAACAGCCAGTATCAGTTGGAATCGATGCTGGTGGGTTTATCTTTCAGCTCTACTCTTCTGGTGTTTTCACAAGTTACTGTGGAACAAATCTCAACCATGGAGTGACTGTTGTTGGATATGGAGTAGAAGGCGATCAAAAGTACTGGATCGTAAAGAATTCATGGGGAACTGGCTGGGGTGAAGAAGGCTACATACGGATGGAGCGTGGTATAAGCGAAGACACGGGTAAATGTGGTATTGCTATGCTGGCAAGCTATCCCTTGCAGTGAGTCCATGAATCTCCACAAGCTTTAGAACCTAACAGAACCTTAATATGACAATGCTCTCTGTATGACTATCTGCAATAGCGCAGCTAAAATAATTACGATTGTAAAATAAAGTACTAGAGATAATTGAGAGGCAGGTTATCGTTAACAGGATTCTAAAGTTAAGACGCGATTATAAGAGAAACATGTGTTTACTATATAATACCTGCCTAAGCACACGAGGCTCGCTTGAACGATTGGTACTTTCTCCTAGAAGCATCCTGTTTGATAACTTGCTTCTTATAACAGTAGGTTTGGCATTGAGTCTAGTGATATTTAACAAACACAAGGGTCTCATGGAAAAGATAATCTTCACAACCTAGGATATAAGCTAATTATGACAATGGGAACAAGTGACAAGAAATAACATCCACATAAGTCCACAAAAAAAATTCATCATCAGCTTCCAATGGTTTCACTATACCATCACATTCTGGCCTCACTATTACATGCTTTACCCGACACTACAAAAATGCACCACAACAGCTTGCAAAGCAGATGGAGTGCACAATATATACAAGATAGGGGGACAAAGGGATCACTGCAATAAAAAAAGTGTATGTTTAATCAGAAACAACAAAAATATTCCCAAGTTCGGGTTGTGAGTTTCATTCCAGGATCGTAACTGCAGCTATTCTTACATAACATGTCGTTTACTGGTTTGTTTTATTGTCGAAATGTTTCAAATACAAATTCGTAGAAAGCATGTTATTGACAAATAACATAATATGTATATATATCAAACTATAAGCTATGGTTAAAAAATGGTTGTGGTTGTGACTTAACTTTATAAACTAAAATATGGTTGGTAAAGAATGTTTGCTTAAATCTCATGTGATACATGCATTGGATATATTTCTGAAATCTACGGAAATGTTTGATATATATTTTCTTGTAAGATTTATTATATAAGAGTTTGCCGCTTGAAGTATAACAACACAATGGGCCATGTACTCTTCTTCTTCTTCTTCTTCTTCTTCAGGTACTACGTTTCTTGCGCTTTTTCTATGATGTTTTAGTTTTCATTAAGAAAACCCCAAAATGATAAAAATTAGAGATCTCAACGTTGTCAGATATTAAAACTTTACCTTTGGTTGCTTCCTCAACATGGTAGTAGAATTATTCGGATGAGAATCAAGGGGAGACTCAACTCCCGCTTCAACAGCCTCCTCCTGGTCTTCCTCATCATGAGACTCACTTGGTGCTGAATGCTGTTGCTTCTCAGGGAACCAGTTGGACACCTGCTTGAAACCAAATGAACATAAATTTAGGCCAAAAAAACCTACAAGTGAGAAAGGGATACTTGTAATTAGAGGGTGTTGATTTAGAAAGTTATGTATTGATACAACAAGTCAAGCCGGTCTGGGCTAGGATGCTTAATTACCTCAAGTTCATGTTTTTGACTAGAGAGATGGCTTTTGAATTCATCCAAGCCTTGGCCATCAACATCTTCGCATACTGAGCAAACCCAGGGGACAGATTCACTCTTTCCACTGCACTTATCCTCCCCAAGAGCCTCTGTGTCTCCAGAGGATTTCTGCATTAGTAGAGGGGAAGGCAAGAGGATCATATCCAAACGGCCGAAGAATGTTGTATCCCTCCAAGGATCACTCACCGACGGTTTTATCGAAGGCTGTGGATATGACCATTAAATTGGCTGGGGGTGGATTGCTATCGGTCCAGTTATACATAACTGTCACAATGCTCTTGTAATCTGTTTCAGAAACTAAAGAATTAAGTCTCTCTCTATTCATCAGGGAAAATATCGATTACCGCATAAGGTTAAGAAGATACTCTAACCGTAGGGGACGTGATCAAGAGTGATTCCAGTGGAAGTGATGGCTCGCAGAAAGTCATCAGAGACGTCTGTCAGTATGCCAACGGCAGTGATGGTGAGAGGACCAGTGTAGCCTAAATTCTCCAATAACCGTCTGATACACGGACCGACCCGACGAGCATCAAAGCCAGTGGGAACCGGACACCTCTTGATGTCCCAAATGACCCCAGTAACAGCCTCATACTTGGCATCATCCATCATTCAAGACTTTAAAATCAAATTGGGAAAGCCAAGGTCGTACAATCTAGAACGGAAATCAAACATCATATAACTCGTACGAGATAGATTGACACGGTTAAATCACCTACCTCGCTTATCGTCCAATCAGCCTAAACGACGGGGGGAGAGAGAGAGAGGAATTCACGGCCCATTAGTTGTATTTTACCGACAAATTGGGGCCATGAATCCGTGATACTATTTTAGTATTTACGTTGCATTTATAAGAACTTCAAAAAAGAATAATATTATGACATATATATATATCACTAATCACTGAGTAATCAGACCGATAGAAATATCAAAATCATAAATTTTTATTATGTACCAACCTTAGTTATCAAACAGGCCTTGCCATTTGTTTTGAGCTTTTGGCCACTTATCACCTTTCATCTCTTTAATATCACTTACAAATACACCACAACAGCTTGCAGATGGAGTGCACAATATATATACAAGATATGGGGACAAACGGATCACTGCTATAAAAAGATATATATGTTTAACCAGAAGCAACAAAAATATTCCCAAGTTCGGGTTGTGAGTTTCATTCCAGGGTCGTAACTACAGCAGCTATTCTTACAAAAAATCTTAACACGTATCTGAGAAATACCTAAGACCTCAGTTCCGAAAGCCTTTGTCTAACAGTACAAGCAAGCTTCCATTCACCGATGCTAATCAGACGCTCCACCACTTTTTGCCTAACCTTGATATATGGTATGAACCCTCTATCAGTCATTCTCATCACCATCTTCCCTGCCAAAATGTATTCCCTAACCTCCAGGCAACCCTCGACTACCACCTCATAACTCTCAAACTCCACAGGGTAATCCCGACTTTCTACAAACTCGATCATCTCAATGGCTTTCCAAATTTCCCTGTTGGCTCTCAGAGCTGCTGCTACTTTTGTCAGCATCCCTTTCCGTGGAGAAATTCCAGCTTTGCTCACCATCTCTTTGACAATCTTCACCACATCGTTAGTCTTTCTAGCCAAACACAATGAATTAATCACCGCCCCATAGCTTTCCACATCAGGAATACAGCCAGCTGCACCCATTTCCTCCACAACTTTAATGGCCTCATCCAACTTATCAACAGCACACAGAGAGGACACTAAATAATTGCAGGTTCCAGTATCAGGACTGTATCCAATCAATTTCATCTCATTAATAATATCAGCAACAGACTGGGATCCTCGTCGCCGTTCAAGCCAAGCATCAGACAGAAGGAGTTGAGTCTGAGGATTAGGAAGACAGCCAGACCGAAGAGTGCGTTGGAGGATTGCGAAAGACAAAGGAAGAGGATCGGAACTCTGAAGGCAGTAAGTAAGAAGACTGGAGTAGACAATCTTGGGCAGTGAACGAGGTCTCACGGGAACAAAACTTTGGAGGATTTCGTCAATGACTCGGATTCTATGCTGATGTTGGAAAGCAGAGAGAAAAGAGAATAACATTGAGTTCTGGTAGGGCTCTTTGAGTGAAACAACAAGTTCAGGGATTCTAAGATACTCCTTTGTCTCAACAGCACATTTTATCGCCTTTTCAACCGCTTCAAAGGAAGAGATTGACCGAAAAAACGGAAAGCAGGCATTGAAGGACCGAGCATAAGCAAGAGGTTTTCGCAGATGTGTCAAGCGAAATGCCATTTCCTATTCTCCGAGACCTGATGATCCACTATAAATTCATTAACTTGGCATCTGAAAAAAAGCCTCTTCTCCTATAGTAAACCTGGAAAGTAAACAGAAAGTAACACCTAGAATCATTCAATGCTCTCAACTAATGTCGATGATGGTGATGAAAAGACCAATGTTCATTTAAAGGATCATCTTTTAGTAGCGCAAGTATATTTTCTGCAAATCGGGAGTTAGGGGAAATCATACAAAGTCATACCTGAGTGCATTTAAGAAACTTCAAGCTAAGCCCAGGAGGAATAATCCGGTAACTGGAGAAGAACGAGATTTTGCTTCACAGAGGAATATCATCGAACGACTGGACGGCAAGATGTGGAGAATTCAAATGAATAGGCAATGACCTAAGGTTTGGAAAATCGGATCAAACCGAGTATTCCGAAACACCCATGAGCTTCGATCGGATACGTTCTTCACAGATTTGATAAGTAGCAGAATCGTGTGATTTGAAGAAAGAAGGAATCTTTAGACTTAAGAGTCAGAGTTGCGTTTTGATTCAAACGAAATTACCAGCCTCTGTTGTGTTTCGAGGTTTCACGTGTTTTTAAACCTAACCGGATATATCCAAAAGGTTTACGTTTAACCGGAAATTGGTCGGTTCAGCCACTTTTATTTCAGATTTGGACCTACAAAATTCTGATTTTTTCAGGAGACATTTGAAAAATGTCAAATTTAATAGGCACCAATTAATAATTATAGAACTAATTTTTTGGTCTGACACCATTAAACGTCCATTACATAATGCATTCTCTAAAACATTACAAAAATATAAAACTATCTCTGTATAGGTCAAAGAAAAAAAACATTAACGTAATCCTATAATTTCTTTGCCAATTCCAAATTATAGTGTATACTAATTATGAAATTTTACTTTCGCAAGATGGCCGTACCAGTGCCGGTTTTTACTCCGGGAGATATATAAACCACAAATTGCAAGAAAAAGCTCAACAATTAAACATCATAGCTTGTTACTTAGAGTGGGACATAGTGTTGTTTGAAACCATTAATCACTGCATAACATTGTTGCCTTTGATCTTGCTTCAAATTTTCCCAGCCACCTTGCACATTCCTTGATGTATATCCAACGTTGACAATCTCCCGATTCACACCAACACCGTTGTTGTTAACACTTAACCCTCCCGAGCCACTCGAATTCATAGCTAACCCGTTCTTGTTGTTACTATTATTGCTGAACACTCGTTGATTATTATCCCAATTACCGATAAGAGGTTGGTTATGAACCAAGCTTTTGTATAACTTGAGCTCTTCACAAATCCTCCTATACTCTCCATAGGAGCCAAGGACCGGATCTTTCTGTCTCCAGAGAGCTTCCCATGTCAAAGAATCAGAGAGCTTGGTACGGTCCTCTTCACGTACGGTCCGTACCATTTTTTGTACGTTACTGACACCGAAGACCTTGTGCACGGCCTGAAACTCTTTGGTCTTGCGGGCTGGGAAATACGGCGATAGGATACATTCATTGTTACATTTCTTCCTTTGATGTTTACATGATGCACAAGCTTGATGCGACGATGAGTTATTGGAGATGTTTGTGGTGGTGGTGGTGTTGTTAGAGTTCCTTTGCATCATCTCATGTCCCTAGTAACAAAAACTTCGAATTATAATACAAATATAAATGTTAGTGATCGATCCGGTTAAGACATTACCTCAAAAAGTCAGAAAGTGATCGATAGATCGTTATATAGTTAGGGTTTGATAAGTTTTTTGTAAACCTATTAACTAATCTTTTGATGTAGATTTTTTTTTCTTTCAACAATTTGATGTAGATTCTAACGCAATTTGTTGGAAATTAGTATTCACGTGGTATAGAAGAAGTTTACACTTTTATTGTGTTCTTAAAAAGTTTACACTATAAATTTAGAGAAATGTTCGATTGGTAACCTTTTTCTAAATATTGGTAAAGCCGATTTTTGGATTTAGCCGTAAAGCTAACCTGTCTAGTACTTTAAGATCCAACATGGCTTAAAAGCCTTCGTTCTAAAATTCTTTAAGAAATACATTTACATGTAATATATATGGTTTTGAAATCAAGTGTGATACAACAACGATATTAATTAACACAAAATACTAAACTACAAATCTTTTTTTTCTACAATTGATTACTTTAATAACATATTATTATCATAATTCATGTTTTTTTTTTTTGTTATTATTCAAAATCGTTTCTATAATCTAGTTTCTAAATTATAAATAATTAGTGGGTCAATGACTTATAATATATGAAGTTAATTCGAAAAAGGAACATTTTCATATCGGATCAAAAAATATATAAAAAAAACATGGCATATATAGATTAATTTAACGAAAGCTAATATTATAATCATAAAAATGTGTTTCTACATGTACATGAGTATGCAATAAGGTCTTCAACCAATCCTGATATATTAAGAGAGACCAATATATATAACGTACTAAAAATTTGGGAAGTATAACAAAAATTTCATATTAGTGCTATATATAAATTAATGGGAATCACAACTATGTATGAATACATGCATGAATCTGGTAGACTAATTGAAACATTATAAAATCTCCACAAAGGAAACATATATCTCAGAGAAGAATAAAAGTTTGAAGATAATGTCGAGAAGGGTCATACAAACCTCTTGCCTCTTTTATTTTCCTTCATTTGTGGGTTAATAGCAATTGGAGTTATGGATTTATATTAATAATAAAGGATAGATATTGGTTGATGAGTATTATTTATTATTTGTTATTTTTGGAAAAAAAAAGAAAGAAGAATAATGGTGCACAAAGAGTTTGTCTAATGAACATGAAAAGATTGTTTGGTTAATGAAAGAAAAAGGTGTTTGGATGAAGGTTCGATTATGAGTTTTTTAGGTTGCTCATGACAAAGGACAATAACAACTAGGAAATCAATAAACAAAACGAAATTTTGCTTTTTATTGGATTTTTTTTTTAATTATAATGGGGAAAATATGATTTTAGTAAGTTATTATTATATTTCAGATTGTCTTATGCAAGAGCCATGATACTATTTACGTTATTTATACCAACTAGGATTGAAATTCGCGCTACGTCGCGGGATACTTTTTTGATTTTTTTTTTTAATTTAAACAACCAAAACCAAATCAGTTTAATTGCAACAAAAACAAAAGAAAGAGTGTTTACCACAAACTTTAAAAAAAAGTTTGTTTGCAAGAAACAGTAATTACAAATATGTTTACTTGTCTAAGAGCTTGACAACATATTCTTCATCTTTGTTCTGCTATGAGAAATACAAACAAAGCTATCCATATAATTTCAGGGCATCCACTATGTTAACACACCCAAGTTACCTACCTACCTACCTACCTCAGAAACAGAGCACACAAATGGATTCCCCAACTTCCAAGACCAAAGATATAAATCCTCCGCTTCACATCTTAGGTTTCGAGTTCGATGAATGATCTCATACATATGTCATAGGTCTCGTTTCTCCAGTCTGTTGCACTGTTTCTTTAGCTGCAGAAATTTAAAACCAAATCATTACACCAAAAACAAATAATGTTTTAGAGAAGTTGTGCCAGAATTCATTTAACGTTTACCATGTCTTTTTTTATTAAGTTTCTCTAAATCTCTTAAGCACTAAGACCATCTCCAATGTAGAGCTCTATATCTTACTCTAAAATAGAGTAAGAGGAGGGTTTCTCTCCAATGTATATGTCTATTTTCTACTCTAAAAAAGAATATTCTTAGAAATATTCTATTTCTATTTTATATACTAATGCATTTTAATTATATAATTTACAATTTGACCCCATATATTATAGATTTGCAAAATTCTCATAAAATATGAAATTATTTAAATTAAACACTAATTATTTATTAAAAAAAAACATTACATCATATAACAATAATAAAACATTACAAATTTTATTTTAAATAACACCATTAGAATATTTTTCCTACATATGATCAATTAAAGCATTTCGTAGTGAGAAATAAGCTTCTTTATCTTTGATTTTTTTAAATCTACCAAGAAACTCTTGAAACCGGATATTATGCTTTGAATGAGCTAAAGGAAGAAAACAAAATAAATGTGATTTGAATTCCTTTCAAAACCCAAATGTTCGGGCATATTTTGAGAGTGAACAAGCACGGATTTTACAAAAACGACGTGTCCAACAACAAGATCAAGATAAAAAAACTCCTCCTCCATCTACTTCATTTGGACAATATTTTAACTATCTTGGTGGATCTACAAGCAATTTACCGGACTATTAAATTACTAGTTTTATGTTTTAGTTTTCTTATGTTGTTTATTTTAAATTTAGTACTTGTTTGCTTGTTAAGTTTATAAAGCTATGTGTTGTAATTGTTGTTTATAAAATGATTATATGTATTAAATAAAAAAGTTTAAATTTGAGGGACTAAAGTATAAATGAAAAAGTTGAACTCAAAAATAGAGTTGAGAATAGAGTTGCTCTATATATAGAGTCAATCTGCAGAAATCTCTATTTTAGAGTCAATTATAGAGTAGGGTTGGAGAAGAATTTTGTATTTTTACTCTAAAATAGAGTAGGGTTGGAGATGTCCTAATAGTTTCATACGTGTTATTTTCTTGTAATTTGGTTATGATTATGAATAAAATAAATAGATTGTATGCAATCCAAACTAACTCGATGATTGGATTGGAAAGAAGAAGAAGAGGCAGAATTGGAATCGTTATTTCCAGCCTAAATACCAAGAAATACTCCTAAGGATCTATAGTGAAGGTACATGAACTGTTAAACTTGATAGAGATTGTGTTAGCTGTAACTTCAAACAGAAATATGAAGGCTTAAAGCTATCAAAATTCTTTCACTGAATAACAATTATTCGCACGCCAAACTAAACCCATAACAATTGTTACATTCAATGATTGTGCAAACAGCAACAAATTAAAGAAAAAGACTAATCCAAAACCAAAAACTCACTGGAAGATAGAAAAATCAATAATCCATAAAATATATAACAATAAAAACCAACTAACAGAACAATGTTACAGTTGATTATAAGACAGTTAAGCAATAAAAAAACCACCACATATTAAATGATTTTTGTCCTAGGGTCAAAAGAAATTCGGAATAAAGAAACTACAGCACCCGAAATCCAGATAAGTAATCTATATGAAGCTCGCAGTGAGGAAAGCAAAAAAAAAAAAAAAAAGAGGAAATGAACAAGTACATACAGTTAGAGTCTTAACAGTTGGAACTGTTAAGAGAGCTTCTCCACCTCCATCTTGAGCTAATCCACAAGCTTCGAATTCAAGCTCCAAAGCTTCTGCATGGACTCCAAAAAGCTTTATGATATACAAAAGTAGTGGAACGGAATGTGTCAAGGTCCTCTTGGATCATTTGTAATTCCTACAAAACTAAAACTATTTGCTCGCTCGATTATAATCCACATGCCTTTGAAAGCTGTTTTGGAGTAGAAGATTACATACCTCTGAGCCTAATCGAAAGAGGCTTCTTTTCAAATAAACCCAACACAAGCAATGGCTCAAGATAATAGCCAACTAATCGACTCATAGCGCAGCTGTGAACCAAGTTCTTCCCTCCCATTATAATTACATGCTTGTACTTTATTGAATCCCTGCCAAAATATATATTACAACCTATTAAAAACTAACAAACCAATTCGAATATAAAAATAGCATTTTCTTCTTCAAGTTTTGCTCTCAGACACAAAAAAACATGATTGTAATCAAAACTCAACTGAAAGATAGAAAATTTGAAGTCACAAATCCTAAATTGGTGAGACTTAGCTTCAGCTCAATAGCAAAACTACCCTAAGATGTTAAATTTTCTATGAATCATTCTTAATATCAGTAAATCTTAAGTCATGAACCCTAATTTAGGTGGTACGTTACTTACCGGTCTCGTTAATCTCAACGACAGCGTCATCGGTGACAGTTTCTAAGTGGCGGAGAAGATTAACTTCGTGAGGGCGGAGAGCAGGGATCATGTCGTCGGCACTAATCTCATCAATAAAGATAGGTGTTGAAGAAAGTGTCGAAACTCCAAAGAAGCAGCCTTTGCTTCAAGCTTTGGCTTCCCTTCATCTTCTTCGTCCTCCTCTGTTTTTTTTTTGTCACCCTCCTCTGTTTTTTTTTGGTCTAGTTGTCGATTTCAATCTGAATAATTAATAAGCCCACTTGACTTCTTTTCAAACAATAAGCCCAAAATAGTAAGATATGCTTTAACAGAAAAATGATGTGGCAAAATAGAAGATTATTACTGAACAGCAAAACTGAGTTGTACTCCCTCTGTCCCAATATATAAAATGTTTTAGACATTTTTATTTGTTCTATTATATAAGATTTTCTCTACTTTGTATTAGTTTAATAGTTTTTAATTATTTTAATTATGCAGTATTTTTTTCTATTGGTTGAATTTTCATAAATGAAAAAACATTTATTGTTTCTTAATCTTTGTGCTTTTAGTCCAAACATCTAATAAAATGGAATAGAAGGAATATTATTTAAAATGTTTTGATTGGAGTTCGTTTTTAATGATGTGTCATGCTCAAGAAAGCTCAAAAAACTGATGTATCAGATCAGGAGAGAAACTTAGTGTTTTTATTGTATTTATATAGAAATATCAAAATCATAAAATTTTAATCATGTACCAAACAAACTTAACTATGCAATCGATGTGTCGGAACTTATATAGAAATTGATGTGTGGACACAAGGATTGATACAAGTGCAACGATTGATCAACGGCTGAGATTGAACGGCGATAACGATAACGACCTTATCCGAATTAAAATCCCTTTGTACTTCCCAAGGAGAAGTGTCATGGTCTCCATACCAAATTGGTTTTTAAATTAATTCTCTCGAAGGGTATTTTTGTAATCTCATAACCGTTACTAATTTTATAAAAAAATAGGAAACTATCGTTGAAACTTCTTCATCTTCCTTATAACAACCACAACGTCACTTTCTCGGAAAAAAATCTTCCCGGAAAATTGATATTGGTGAACGGAATCCCTAGAAATGTCGGATAATCGCGCACTCCGGCGATCTCATGTTCTTGCCAACCACATACTCCAATCAACTCCTCTGGCATCGAACCTCTCCCTGACGCGCGAGGTATGTTTGCAGTACTCTCCACCGGAGCTAAACGAGAACTATGGATTCGATGTCAAGGAGATGAGAAAATTACTCGATGGACACAACGTCGTGGATCGGGACTGGATTTATGGACTCATGATGCAGAGCAATCTGTTTAATCGGAAGGAGAGAGGAGGTAAGATTTTCGTGTCGCCGGATTACAATCAGACGATGGAGCAGCAGCGTGAGATCACTATGAAGCGGATCTGGTACTTGCTGGAGAATGGGGTTTTCAAAGGATGGTTGACGGAGACAGGTCCTGAGGCCGAGCTCAGGAAATTAGCTCTGCTTGAAGTTTGTGGGATTTATGATCACTCCGTCTCCATCAAAGTTGGTGTTCATTTCTTCTTGTGGTATGTTCACAACTACAATTTCATGCATATATATCTCTAATTTCACGTCAAGCTTTGATTGTTCTCATTGTTGAGATGTGCTCTGCTTGGTATAATCCTAATCTGGCATTGAAAATTATCAGATTATTCTTAATCTGAGATTGAAAAGTTCATATGAAATGAGTAATTTGTGCTTTGGTCAACGAATTGTGGTTATAGAATTTTTAAGTTATTTAGCGTCTTAGGGAGACAGAGAACAGTGTTATAAGCTATAAGTGTTTTCTCTGTGATACTCAGGGGTAATGCTGTAAAGTTTTTTGGAACAAAGCGTCACCATGAAAAGTGGCTGAAGAACACCGAAGATTATGTTGTCAAGGGCTGTTTTGCAATGACTGAGCTAGGCCATGGAAGTAATGTAGGCATATTTTAGTTGCCATTTTTTTTACATAGGCATACTCTATGTCTTGGTCATCTTCAACACCTATATTGAGTTCTATTTAATTCTTTTGATATAGGTTCGGGGAATTGAAACACTGACAACTTATGACCCAACAACTGAAGAGTTTGTGATAACTACTCCTTGTGAATCTGCTCAGAAGTATTGGATCGGTGGGGCAGCTAATGTAAGTAGTCATTATACCTATCCTGAGTGTACCAAAATACTCGTTTCTATTTAGTTCTCCCCCTGATTTGTCATATACTAATTTTGTGATATTCTTTTGGTTGTTCAGCATGCAACACACACAATTGTGTTTTCACAGCTTCATATTAACGGAACCAACCAGGGGGTCCATGCCTTTATCGCCCAAATCAGGGATCAAGATGGCAACATATGTCCAAACATCCGCATTGCTGACTGTGGACACAAAATTGGTCTAAATGGTGTTGACAATGGCCGGATCTGGTATAACGCACAGCTCCGTTCAGTTTAATTTTACCTTATACTAAGGTGTGTACTTCAATGGAAGATTGCACTATGATTGCAGGTTTGATAATCTTCGAATTCCAAGAGAGAATTTGTTGAACGCAGTTGCTGATGTTTCGTCTGATGGGAAGTATGTTAGCTCAATTAAAGATCCTGATCAGGTAAAATGCTACACCCTGGAACCATTTTTAGGATAAACTTTACTATACTTGCCGAGTTGCAGAGCCAATGTTTTTAATTTTATTTTCAGAGATTTGGAGCATTCATGGCCCCTTTGACTTCTGGCCGAGTCACAATTGCATCAAGTGCAATTTATTCTGCAAAGGTACAGATTTCAGTAGTTTTATTTTGATCTCTTACATACGTCTTTCGTAAGATATGAACCTGACTGTTTCAGGAATCAATGTAGTTGATTAAGATTTTTACTGTGGCAGGTCGGATTAGCTATTGCTATAAGGTACTCATTATCGAGACGAGCCTTCTCTGTTACAGCTAATGGTCCTGAAGTCCTCCTCCTTGATTACCCAAGCCATCAAAGGCGACTGCTACCACTCCTAGCAAAGACGTAAGGATCTTTACAAACATTATAGCCATCAAATTTCGAAGCGAATGCCCGAAAGAAGTGAAAAGCATGGCCTGAGAATTTGTCCCAACTTTTTAGAGATGAGTTGTTTTCTTTAATTATTTCTCATTTATCACAGATATGCTATGAGTTTTGCTGCAAATGAATTGAAGATGATTTACGTAAAGAGAACACCGGAGACCAACAAAGCTATCCACGTTGTTTCAAGTGGGTTCAAAGCTGTTCTCACCTGGCACAATATGCACACACTTCAGGTTAAAACCAATACATTATACTTATTGTTATGTGAGAAAGCTCCTATGAGTCATACTGAGGTTATTTTTTTCTATTATTTTTAAGGAATGTCGTGAAGCTGTAGGAGGGCAAGGTGTGAAAACAGAAAATCTAGTTGGTCAGTTGAAAGGTGAATTTGATGTGCAGACTACATTTGAGGGTGACAATAATGTATTGATGCAGCAGGTAAGCGGGCACATTATTGTGATTTCCGAACATGAGCAATATTGCAAAATTTTCTTGTTTTGACTATACAATTTTATTTAGGTGAGCAAGGCCCTTTTTGCTGAATATGTATCGTGTAAGAAGAGAAATAAACCTTTCAAAGGATTAGGATTGGAGCACCTGAACAGTCCACGTCCTGTATTGCCGACTCAACTCACATCGTCTACCCTCAGATGCAGCCAGTTCCAGGTCATATGCCTCATAAATATTTTCCTTCTTATCATTTTTTTAGATGAATTTTCAACTTTTTGCTAAACATTTTCTTGTATTTTGTCCCTAACAGACAAATGTGTTCTGCTTAAGAGAGCGAGATCTTCTGGAACGATTTACTTCTGAAGTTGCACAGCTTCAAGGGAGAGGAGAAAGTCGAGAGTTCTCTTTCCTCCTGGTAAGCATTTTTCTCACCTAAAATTTGCTTTCCTTTTCTGTTCACCTACCTTCAGGATTCAGTAATGGTTTTCTTCTCCTTCCCATCCGTACTTGCAGAGTCATCAACTTGCTGAAGACTTAGGTAAAGCTTTCACAGAGAAGGCAATACTGCAAACCATTTTGGATGCTGAAGCCAAACTACCTGCTGGCTCAGTAAAGGTAGGTCAAAAGGATTATTATATGTGACGTTTTTGAACCTATTTAGTTCTATCATGGTTGTTTTGCTAGCTAGGGATCACGGATGGTACCTTAGGCTTCCATGTCATATGATTAACGTGCAGAGTAGTTGATTTTAAACAATGGTTTATTGCTCGATTGATTGGAAAAAGCTGTTAGACTAGTTGGATGTTTTGGTTCTCTATGTAGTTCATCAGCTTTTAGTCACGATAAGGAAAAGCAGAGCTTTGTTCTTTGTATAGTGTTTCTGTAGACTACCACTAGCATAGGAACTAATCTAAGCTAACTACCTCCATGTATTTAATAACAGGATGTGTTGGGTCTTGTAAGATCAATGTACGCATTGATCAGCTTGGAAGAAGATCCGTCGTTGCTGCGGTATGGTTACCTTTCTCAGGATAATGTTGGAGATGTGAGGAGAGAAGTTTCAAAGCTCTGTGGAGAGCTTAGACCTCACGCGCTTGCACTTGTCACTTCATTCGGCATTCCAGACTCCTTCTTGAGTCCAATTGCATTCAACTGGGTCGAAGCCAACGCTTGGTCTTCAGTTTAGTTACTTGCTGCTAGTAATAATCTCTTCCATGATTCCCACATGTCTTAAAAGTTATGTTTTCACGATATCTACAGAAACTGTTGTAAGCTCTTCATAATAAATTAAAAGGGGTATGTGATATGTATCCAGGGTTTATTCTTTACTTAAACTGGTCTAAACAAAAAGGTTTGGTGATCATTTTCAAATTCTTATAAACAATTGTTGTTATGATTCTTAATTGGTATATGAGTTGTGGATAAAATAATCTTCGAATAGTTAATTTGTAATTCATTCAAGTTTCATTAGACATGTTTATATCTAATCTATTATATTTAAGTTTGCCAGATTAATTAAGGAAACACGAATGACTTGCATTAGGAGTGAAAACAAATTGAACTTGTACATCTCTAACGATCAATTGACTACTCAAACGACAGGAGTCCGTATTCGGTTAGTTTTCACAACTATTTATTTAATCATGTGTTTTATCAATTAATCTGGCAAACTAAATTCTTAATTGGCTTAGGTTGTGGCTGACTATTTTAATTTAAT